ATTTTTTATTTTTTATTTTTTTTATTTATATAAGCATTAATTTACAGTGACTTTTGTTACTTGAAATTGATCTATTTTCAATAGCATCAGCCTTTATGTTAGTTTCTAACATATGGTCATCCGTGCAAATAAGTTTAAGTTGTATATTAACTAGGATAACTTATGAAAACCACCTGAACTTAGGCTAAATTAAGAAAAACACCCTCACATATTCGTAATTACAAAAATCCCCTGATGTTTGTTTCCGTATTACATCGACCCCTTATGGTATGATTTTTCAAGGAATTTTTTTATTACGTGGAATATTCAACAAAAAATGCTGGGCACACGCGACATTTCTTTATGGTACTTTTTAAAGACAAAAATTACCCTCAGGGGACTTTACACGAAATATTTATTCTTCTTAAATAACACTTTCACAAATTTTTATTATTACCATGACCACCCCTGAGGGTAATTTTTATATTTAAAAAGTACGATAAAAAAGAAATGTCACGTTTGCAAGGGTAGAATCCATATGTTTTGGGATATTACATGGAATAAAAAAGATTCCGTAAAAAAATCACACCACAAGGGGGTCGTGTAAGATAGAAACAAACATGAGGGGGATTTTGGTAATCACCGATAAGTGGGGTGTTTTCTGTAATTTAGCCTAAGTTCAGAAGAATTTTCATAATTTATCTTATTAACAATGACTATTGTTCTTTTTCGTCTTAACTTTTGCTTATACCCTTATAATATTATAAATAGTTTTAATGTCAGTTTGATAATATAATTAATATTAATTTCTAATAAATTTAATATGTGTTTTTTGATGCTCAGCTACCACACATGAGAAATTTGATATAAAGGTTCGAGATTGAATATAATTTTTTTTTTTATCAAAAAATTATTGATACAAAATCAGAATTCATGATTAATATTAACATTAGAATTATAATTACAATTAATATTCTTTCAATTAGTATTAGTATTAGTATGAATACTAAAAATAGGATTCGGATTGTAATTAGGATTAATATAATATTATAATTAATATTAGCATTATGAATTAATATTAGCATTAATATTAATATTAGGATTCATATAATATTATAATTAATATTAGTATTAGAATTATAATTAAGATTATAA